TTTTGGAAAAATAGTTCTAAACGGGTATTTTTGGAAAATAACTTTAAAAAGGGTAAATATGGGAATTTAACTCGCATGAACTCCAAATTTGTAAAGTTTGTCTTATGGAGTATCAAGTTTATTGCACTACCTACATGATGAAGGAAGAGACGCATTTCGGGTGGAAAACCACCCACTGGATACTCAATCTTGATGAGGGTCTGGTTTCGTAGGAGCGGTTCACGGAAGGAATATTATCTTATCGTTGCATGCATACAAAACCAGATGACTTTCTTGGAGTTGATATGTAATGACCCAGATCCACCACTAGCAGATATTGTCCTCTTTAGGCTTTCCTTTTCGAACTTCCCCTCAAGGCTTTAAAACGCGTCTGTTAGGGGAAAGTTTTCACACTCTAGTAAAGGGTGATTTGTTCTCCTCCCTAACCAATGTGGGACATCACAATTCACCCCTTTGGGGGCTCATCGCTGGCACTCGTTTCTTTCTCTAATCGATGTGGGACCACCACCAAATCCACTCCCTTTGGGGCCCAGCGTCCTTACTAGCATACCGCATCGTGTCTACCCCCTTTAGGGAATAGCAAGAAGGCTGGCACATCGTCCAAAACTTGGCTCTGATACCATTTATAATGACCCAGATCTACAGCTAGATATTGTTCTCTTTGGGCTTTCCCTTTTGGGCTTTCCCTCAAGGCTTTAAAACGGGTCTACTAGAAGAAGGTTTCCACACCCTAGTAAAGGGTGATTTTTTCTCCTCCCCAATTAACGTGGGACATCACATAAAGTAGGGAGATAGATCTATTGAGGACTATGATATTGAATTCAACAAACTAGCTAGAATGACTCTTAGTTAGTGAGCATAAACAAGATGGATAGTCGTTTCATTGAAGATCTTGGGGATGAGATCTAGAGATCAATTGTGGCCCATGCTCCTCCAGACTATGTTGCAGCCATACGAATCTTTATTCTTATGGACATGCACTGTTTGAAGGGCAAGCAGTCTACCACCGTTTAGTTCATCTCCACTTCTTCGGGATAGAATAGGAAAGCAGATAAATAAGCCTCCATGACACATAGGTGACTATGTGGATGATCAGGTCATCGTGGACATGTTGTGGATTAGGGCAGGGTAGCTTCCCCCATGTGTTAGGATCGATACCAGTTGTTAGCTCTGATACCAATTGTTAGGATCACTCAACAATGCACACACTCGATCAAGATGAACACAAAGAATAGAAGAGAGAAAATACAAGGAGGAATATTGGCTAAAGGTTTTATTATTGATGAGTTCAGGTATGTACAACAGATATAATACAGAGAATGAAGAGAGTACATTTTAAGAGCAACCTAATAGGGTATGTATATATGGTTTCAATTTATTAAATATAGCTTTCAAAGATTTAAACTACTAGATATAATCTAACAAATATATCTCTATCAAATCTTTACTAAATCTCTACCATATATATCTCTATCTTTACTAAATATCTTCCAAATATATCTCTAGATCTACGCATCAGGCTCCATATCCCAATAATCTCCCACTCGGAGACTGATCCAGTCAACCAAGAATTTCATTCTCAAACGATCACTGCACCATACCAATTAAGGCTTTGCATAACCTCAATTTTCCAACATCAACACAAAATGTTTGCTGGATTCCTTACACCCTCTATCTTCTCCAAATACATCATCATCTTCAACTAACCTTCGAGTGAAATGATATCGCCTTCTGTATTTTGAATGATAGACCGGGTTCCTCGCCAACTACATGACACTCTAACTATTGACCTGAAGAATCTTCTCGCGTTGCTTCTTGCCTAATTCTTCTAGATAGTTTGTCATTCATATCATCTCTTTTCCAGCTTCAGCTAATGCCACGTACTCAACCTCAACAGATGAAAGAGCAACGCATTTCTGAAGCCTAAACATCCCATCATCCATGGCTTGCTCCCACTTAGTTGTGTTGAAATTAAATTGCTCTGATACCAATTTGTAGAAAAATAAAGCCACTCCGAATGCCTTTCTCTATTACACAGTACAAAAATTGAATTTGCTCTCTGCTGCTCTCTCTTTCTTGTTTTCTTCTCTCTGCTATTACATCGATAAGTGAAGCCCTTTTATAAGCTTTCCAAGGCCAAAATGGCTTTAACTACCCATAATTTCTCACCCATTGCTCCCCTCTCAGTAATTTTCTCACCTATTTGCTCTAATAATAGATTACCAAGAGATATAGGTAAAAGAAATTTCCATCCGAGATTTAATAGTTGGTCTATTCTTAGTCGGGGTAAAGTCCATCTTGTTGCTATAGAAATGAACAAGAATAAATAAGTTTTAGCTAATGTAATAAAGATACTAATTGTCATTCCAAAGACTTCATACGCTTTATTTATTTCAAAAAGTTCATAACCGAATATGTATGGAATAGAGATATCCCAACCACCCAAGTAAAGAACCGTTACAAATAACGAAGAAACTAATAGATTTAGATAGGAAGCAACATAAAATAAACCAAATTTGATACCCGAATACTCGGTTTGATAACCCGCTACTAATTCTTCTTCCGCTTCTGGTAAATCAAAAGGTAATCTCTCGCATTCTGCTAAGGAAGAAATTAGAAAAATAACAAACCCTATAGGTTGACGCCACAAATTCCACCCCCAAAAACCATACTTTGATTGAGCCTCAACTATATCAACTGTACTCGAACTGTTAGATAATCATAGTCGGTAATAACATCACTGTTCTCATCGCTATTACAGAACCGTACATGAGATTTTCACCTCATACGGCTCCTTGAGGGCCATAAATAAATCTAAGGAGCGTGTCGGGATTATTTATCTTAATATGTCTTTTTTGTAGAAGAGTATAGGATAAAAATCTATCGTGTGGCCCCCAATTAACCCAATAGAATTCTGTCTGTTCTAATAATAAAGAAAAAAGGTACTTCTGAATTGATCTCATCCTTTAATAAAAAAAAATTCTTTGTTGAGTAATAACTTAATTCTTCACTAAAATACTATTTATTATAAATATCAATAACCCATCGTTTTCACTTACGAAAAAAACAAATTGGCTATTCCATTAGTTCATGAATTCGGACACGAATTCTATCTCTATGAATAGGGAGATAGGAAAGAAATGAATATAGGAATAGATGGAGATAAGAAACAATACAAAAGATCTCTTTTTTTGTTGTAATTGGATTCTTTCAATTTTTTTTTTTCGTTCCTATTCTTCTTTCTGAGAAAAAGGGGACTTACTAAATAAGGGATTATTTCGTTTCCGATAGTTATTTATTTAATGGGTGGATAGGCGCATACTCTGGATCGGAATCGTGGGGAGTACTGCCTGATCATTTCTACAAACTTAAAGCCCCAATTC